TGCACGGCGGTCTCGCGCACACAATATGTATTTATTTATATTTATATGCATATTATGCAGAATAGAACTAAAACATAATGAAGTGGAATATCATGAGATTATCGAATACATTCATTACATTAAAGAGTCTCTATTTTTCTTCTTATTTTTTACTTTTTCTTCTTCTTCCTCCTCTTCTCTTCTTCCTTTTCTTCTTCTTCTTCTTCTTCTTCTTCTTCTTCTTTTCTTCTTCTTCTTCTTCTTCTTCTTTCTTCCTTTCTTCTTCTTCTTCTTCTTCTTCTTCTTCTTCTTCTACATCTTCCTCTTCGTCTTCTTCTTCCAATTATCATTATTTTCTTCTTACTGTCATGTGCACTTATATAAATGTAATCATTTTTAATAAAGACAATTAATATCATGTTTACAGCTGTAGAGATTGCGAAATTTTCTGTATCTGAAATAGGTTTCATTATAAACATGTATATCTTTCCTAGACGAAGAAATAATATATATAAATAATATCGAACGCGAACATTATTATGAATTTAAACAATAGAATCGTCGATCTAAAAATACACGTAGTTTCAAGTTATTGTCGTGCATTATTTTAATGTGACGTTCATATTAAGCAATCTGTAACTTATATTAACTTATTATCCTCCATAAACCATGTGAAGATTTAAATTCTTTATGACGAGCAAACGTTGAGTGGAGTATACCCACTGACAAAATAAAATTTCTTTGCGTTCACTCGCCAATAGAATATCTCGCCCAATGAGCGACGCCCATCAGCGACGAATCGCTGTGATTGGTCGATCTGCGGCAGCAGCACTTGGTTGTCTGAGCTAAGCACATATAGCAAAGCATATGATTTACGCCCATCAGGCCACGGCTACTGCACCGCGTAAAAGGGCTCTGTGTGGATCAACAAGGCATCATGCTGGAATTTCCGTTCGACGTATAGCGTATGAAAACAATAACAATAACGCATATCAACACAGTTCTCATAATTACACACAACCGCGTATTAGATATCCTATATATTTTTCCCCCCACCTCGCGTGGTACGAATCAGCGTGGTATTTCCATCCAAAAATGAAATGGAATTAAAATTAAATTAAGTTAATCGAGGTATGGTAATCGTCATCGTCGTCGGTCCCCGCTACTCGCCTGCCCTTCGTCCTCGCCTGATCCCCCCCCCCGCGTCTGAGCCGAGTGGTATGGCCCACGTCCAGCAGCTGATGATAATGATGACCCTCTTCGTACATCTTGCGCTCATATTTTCTCAGCGTAACGCGAGAGGCTCATCCCGCCCGTCAATCACGGAGCGCGGCCGCGGAGCGGTGGGCGTGGCTTAGCCGGTGCGCGCGGCTCAACCACCCGTAGACCGCATCGAATCTGCTGGCTAGACGCCGGGGTCTGTGGTTCATACGCAGCATGGACGCGTTACGTCAGCAGGGGAAGGTCGCTCCCGTACCGGACATTACGTTTCGATATTCGAGTCGAAGTGTTGCGCGGCCGTTGAGATTTGATTCTACGGACTCTATTGCGCGCGTTCTCTCTCTCTCTCTCTCTCTGACTTTACGGTACTTGGACAACGTGTGATCGTTCCACTCACTTCTCGGTGGCACTGACAGGTTATACGGCATCTTCCTTTAGCCGAAGTTTGTCTACTGGCACTCGCATCGAGCAACACACTGTCAGCTCAACTCCCCGTTAAGTAGTCACCGCAGAAGGATATTACCGATTATTAAAAATTACAACGGCGTGCCAAAACGTAAACTTCCAAACTCTATTAATTCTACACCACCTCGTGCGTGTCTCGGAATGACGACAATGACACGACGACGACGAATGACGACGACGACGCAACCGATGACGATGACACCTGGAACTTTAATACGGCGGGCAGACGCAAATCAGACGTGTGTAGACAGCGACATCATCTCCCAACGACTTGGTGATTCGCGCGCAGACCGACGAAGAACTAGCGGCGCAACACGGCGGCGCACGCGCGGGATGGGGGAAATTTGCTCGTCACGACGCGTGCTGCGGCACACGTCGGCCACGGATGCGGTTGCTACCTGGATGCTCAGCTTCCGAGGATAGGCTCCTCGCAGCGTGCCACGAATAAGAAGGAGGGAGGAAGATGATATGACGAGCGGCAGAGCGAGGGGACGACACGGCGTCGGGCGCTAGTTAGGCGAGTTTATACCAGCTCTCTAAGTTTTCTTACTACCCTCAACGATCGTCCAACCACCCACGGCCAAAAAAAAGACTGCGGATCGCGGAAAAGGGGGAGACAAAACGAGAAGAGCGGGGCGCGAGGACGAGAGAAAGAGAGAGAGGAAGAGACGGCGGAGAGAGAGAGCGGCAGCCGTTAGCGGGAGCCGTCGAGCGCGTTATGGACATCGGTACGCTAAGTGCGGCGGCGGCAGTCGCAGCGTGTTCGGCGCGATGACGTGTAAGGCCAATTTATAGCGAAATAGGCAACGCATGTGTTGGAGCAAGCCTGCTGCTGGGACAACGGGCCCCTGCGATCGAAGCATTCGCTCTTTTCCCATCGCGCAGCCTTGCTCGCTATTCCGGAATTGCAGGGAACCTCTGCCGGGATATGTCAGCGATTTTCGCACGTGTCCCGTGCGTGCGTGCGGTGCGCGCGCGTGCGTGTGCGTGGGTGCGTGTGCGTTGAGCGTGTGGGGGAGAGACAGGAAGAGAGAGAGAGAAGATAACTCAGCGTCAGACTGAAGAATGTGTAGGCGAGAAGAGAGGAGAGAGGAGTGAGACAGAGTAGAATGGAGACGAGGGAGAGAGATAACAGCGAGAAAGAGTGAACAAAAATCTAGATAGATGCGACGGCGATAGATAGACAGAGATAGAGAGAAAATAGAGAGATAGAAAAAAAAGAGGGAAGAAGAGGGGAGAAAGGAAAAGAAGGGGGAAAAGACAAGAGAGAGAGAGAGAGAGAGAGAGAGAGAGAGAGAGAGAGAGAGAGAGTGAGAGAGAAGAGAGAGAGAGAGAGAGAGAAGAAGAGAGAGAGAGAGAGAGAGATAGAGAGAGAGAGATAGAGAGAGAGATGAAGGGAATAAACTGTAGTACTATCGGAGTACTTCGGATACAGC